TTTATTTTTTCTTGATTTTTCCTTGACTTTTTCTTAATTTTTTGTTTTGATTTCTGTGAGTGAGGTGCCCGTTTCGGGGCGTAGCAGGCGAGCCTCACGCGCTCTGCCTCGCTCTGATCATGACTGACGCGGGGCGTGTGTTGTTCTGTCCTGGTCCTGCAGTGGCTGCGGCAGCTCCACAACTACAACTCCCTCATGGCCGTGGTGGGCAGCCTGAGTCACTCGGCGCTCGCCCGCCTGTCCAAGACCAACGCCTGCCTGCAGCCGCAGTCGACCCGCGCGCTGGAGGGCCTCAGCGAGCTGCTGTCCTCGGCGTCCAACTTCAGCAACTACCGGCGCGCCCTCCACGAGTGCCAGGGCTTCAAGATCCCCATCCTGTAAGTGCCGCTCGTGTTCGCTTGCCCGCCCGCCCGCCTCCCACCCCAGCCTAAACTCACCCCCCGACCTCTGCCCCTCCACAGCGGCATCCACCTCAAGGACATGATCGCCATCAACGCTGCGCTGTCCGACTGGCTGCCTGGCGACCACATCAACGTGCGAAAGATGGCACAGCTTACCCCCATCGTCGCCGAGCTTGAGGACCTGGCCAGGATCAACCCGCCCGTCATCGCCCACATGGACGTCGTCAACACGCTCCGGGTACAGGCCGCGCTCGATGCGTGTGCGTTTTTGTGATAAGTAGTCCACCGTTCGGCCACTTTACTCGTCGCGTCTTTGTCACTACAGCTCTCCCTGGACGTACAGTACACCGAAGACGACATTTACGAGCTGTCGCTGGCACGGGAGCCCAGGAACTCCTCCTCGGTAAGTCGCTGACAAGTCGCTGACCTTTACCCCGTGATTGTCCCATTACTCGTAGTCGGGCCGCGGTCTGTGCATGTGATGTAAACGTAATGCGGTGGACGCGCATACTCCGCGCGCCGCGCCGCGGCTGCGGACGATACTCCGCGCCCAGTCGCTACCCCGATCTCTAGCCGCGGCGGGGTGTCGGCGCGGCGTCGACGGCCGCCCGGCAGGAAAACATTTAAACTTCCTGAAAATTTACAGGAAAAATTGCGTTTTTTTAAAAACAAGTTTTTGTTGTTATCTGAAAGAATATATACTCACATTCCTTTTAACTACGACTCTGGTGCTCCCCGCAGCCCCAGTCCTCCCCGACGCAGACCACGGCTCCAGGCGTGGCCGGAGTCTTCGCCGACTGGGCGTCGGCGGCGTGCTCACCCCCGGACACGGCCACCATCGAGAAGCACGTCAACGCCATGGTGGACGCCGTGTTCAAGCACTACGACAACGACCGGGACGGATACATCTCCCGCGAGGAGTTCGACTCCGTAAACACCAACTTCCCCTTCATCGCGTCCTTCTGCGTGCTCGACGCTGACCAGTAAGGATTACATACTTGCCTCTATTATATTTCACTGTGTGGACGGGGCGAATCAAGCCACGCCTTTTCATCGCCTCTCTTCAAACATTCGCTCGTTTATTCCAGCGACGGCATGATAAGTAAACTCGAGATGAAGAAGTACTTTATCCACGCCAACTGCCACGCTCTGAAGAGTCTCAAGAACGGCTTCAAGCACGACTTCCACGAGACGACGTACTTCAAGCCCACGTTCTGCGCACATTGCGCCGGCCTGGTGAGTATAGAGTGGATTTATTTAAGAAAGACAGCTCGTGCCTACGACCTCGTCCGATTTGGCTGATATTTGGTGGACATGTTCCTCAACTGAATTGAAAAAAAGGCCAGGAAGCGTTTGGCCGAGAAAAATTTACTTCCGGAACTGTGGGCAAATTAGTGGTTTTGCAGGCATTTTGGGTATTTTGCACTATGACTAGAGTTTTGGTCCTAGATTGTCATCTCAGGTGTCTCCGGATGCAGAATGGACCAAGGAACAAGAATATGCCATCGGAATGTCTCTACGACCCATAGTTTTTGAGATATTGTCAAAA